TGTCCTTTGAACAGTGTCTAACCAATATTCATGCCATACAAGTTGTAAATCACTTGGTGAACATGTGTAGCTCATTTACCCTATCAAATTACATAATGCATAGGCTACTGGCAAGTTACTTTGTGAATTTTTTTTATTGTTCCTCTTTATTTCACTTAATCTAACCTTATCTAACTAACTAACTTTTACATTTTAGTTATTTTTTATAATAAGTAAAGAATACATATGAAAAACAAGAAATAAAGTACTTACCCTTTTTTTTCTGCTGTCAACTGTTGATAACATTTAACATTACTTTTTCTACTAATGGTACTACTGCAATAAATAATTTGTTACTTAACTAAATAAAGCAACAAAGAAAACAGAATAATAACATGCAAAAATCAGACAATGTCCCATAACTATCAACATTTTCCTGGCTTTCTAACTACGAGATAAGAGCCATTAAAAATTTAGCTAACCTCATCAATGTGTTTCCTGTAGGAATAAGGTTTGACAAGATGCCATACAGATAAAAACGTAATATAATAAATTATTTGATATATTGAAACCTTTGCATTCTATTGGTTATAAATAATTTAGTATTAAACATCAGATAGAACTATTGGCAATTTCTGAAAGAGAGAATGTGACATGTGGGCATGGCAAGAGGGGTCTATTTTTCTATTTTATGGCTCTGTAATAAAATAAGATTGAAGACTAAAAATTATGCTTTGCTTGAGCAATGACAACGTTATAATGAGTAATTTACATTTAATTTTGTACTCCTTGGAGGGGTAGTATATTAATTACAGAAGAGTGGATGTCTAGAGAGAAAATGTCACAATTCTCATAGCAGGGGAAATTCAGGATTTTTTAAATATTGCCTTAAAAAATTAAGAACTTAAACTTTATATAATATGAATATTTGGATTATTAGCTATGTTTGTATGCCAAAGTTATTTGTATAACTTGATAAGAAAGTAGTTTAATTAAATTTTGAATGTAACTCACTAAAACCTTGTGACATGCACACAAAAAAGGTGCCTATAGCAAAAATGTTAATGGTGAGATTGGCAAAACTAGAGGACATAAATATAAGCTCTGGCAGGGTAGGAATCATCTTCAGCTAAGATAATTTTATTTCTCTAACAATGGAATGGATTGCCTTCAGATGTGGTAGATACAGTTAATTCAAGTGGGTAAAGGGAATGCTTGATAAATATTTGAATGATATGGTATGCATTTAAATTTTTTTATGCTTAGTTAGTTTGATTTAGTGGATAGGACAGCGTAGATAGACTAAAAGGTCCCTTGTTGTCCTTTAATGTTATAATAGGCATCTACAGTTATCAACAAATTAGAAAGATAAACTATGCTTAATTACAAGCAAGTACTGAAACTCCTACCTCCTTGATTAGCTGAGATGTGAACAAGTTTGTCAAACCCACAAGAGAAACTTCGCCCTTCTATCTCACTTTTGAAATTGTTTGCCAATCAACTTTACACAACTAATGGACATGTTTATAACCAATAGAAAGATCAGATTATCCTCTATAAATCTGGCCTTTACAATTAGTTAACAGAATTGTTTGGCTGTTTGTGTTAATATTTTGTTGCTCTGGGTGCTTAGGAAATGTTTTTAACCTATTTGTAGCTTACTTACAAAACCAAATGAATTACAGTAGTTTTAGTCTTTGATATGTTTTTTGTTCTAAAATGCATATTTGAAAGCAACTTTAATTAAATTTTGGACATCCAAATTTGAGAGGCTCAATGAGGCTTATAGAAGAGCAGCTTCAATTTTCACTTGAGTGCAAAAAAGCTCAATTATGCAGTAAGTACAACAAAATCTTATTTTTATGCACATATTTATTGTTGTTTTTTAACAAAAGTAACTAAAATGTAAAAATGAGAAACTTTTCTGCTTGGTTTAACAACCTCTGTCTAAACAAGTGTGATGATGTGCTGCCTACCTCCAATTTCTTCCACATCTGCATTCTTGAAAGTATTATTCATTAGAATGCTAGAACCTCTGGTCATTAAGCTAAGAAAGCGAGCTTTTAACCAGAATATGAACAAACTGCCATAACATTTCCAATTATTTAAATGTAAAGAAAAAACAGAACATGAACTTAAGTCATTGAATATGAAATGGACTAAAAATTTGGTTAATTTCAATCTGAGGTTCTAGAGGTTATGCAAAAGAAATGTGAAAACTGTAAGATAAAAATAAGTATTTTTTATTCTTAGCATGAAAATAACCTTTCACTGAAACTGACTCAAAAAAGGCATTGGAAATTCACAGTCAAATCTTTAGCAAAATACTTTATTAAAATTGATTTTTTGTGTATAACGGACTTGTAGTGGTTACTAAAAGCATGCCAAATTTCCTTATAAACATAGTATTGGAGTCAGTCAATTTGAACAAAGGGTTAATACAATCTTTCATATCTAACACATGCAAAAGATAAAACAATTTCTTTCTGATAAGCCCTCTTAATTATTACAATGACTAAGAGTAAAAAACAGATGATTTTTACTTGTAGGTATGCATTCCATATCTGAAATGTATGAAAATCAGTTATCTTTTTTTTAAAATCTTACATGCCAAACTTCAAAGTATTTTCCTCTTCCAGAAAATAACCTTCCAGGAAATCTTGATACGCAATCACTATTTTCTTGCAATTTTATTTCTGTTCCATTATGTGCATTGAAAAAGTACATTCATTACATTGCTTCATATAGATAAACTTACTCTATAGTAAAAACCTTAAAACACTGCTTCTTAAGTCATAAAAATAAATAGAATTACCATGGATTTGCAGAAAGATAATATATAAAATTCAAAAATTTGATTAAATTTATAAGAGATCTAAAGTTAATATTTTCCTAAACTGAAAATATATTTCTGATAGATACTTACCTCCTCTCACAAAACAGCTTTCCTCACTTTCAACTGCTCTCTACATGCACAAATTTTTCAACTGCCACTAGCCTTTATGTTCCCACTTACTTCCATGTGGTATAGCTGCATTTTAACATGCAAATTAGCATGTGACAACCCTCCCCCAGTAGGAGTGTGACACACCCTCTTAGTGCAGCAGACTCCCTCTATGCAGTAGAACCCAATCTTCACTTCAAGATTAGGCACAAAAAAACAACAACACCAGAGGTGGGGAGAATGTGTGGAAAGTGTGAGGAGAGGCAATATATTTTCAGTGTAGGAAAATATTAATTTCCGATATGATAACTTACTTCCTCTCACAAAACAACTAGAATCTTACACTGACCCAGTGAAAAGCCCAGCATAAAAGTTACTTAGATGAGTACCCCAGAAAGTGTTGGAAGAGGACTGAAGTAGTGTGACATCTTAGTGTAGGGAGAAACACACATGTGGGAGACCACATCATATCTGAACGAGGTATACCTTTGTCCAAGATGAATGAATGTGTTGTGAAATGGGTGGAAAAATGAGGCACAACTGAAAAAAGTGCCATTGTTGTAGAGTGGCCAGAGAACATCAGACTGTAAGTGGAGGTCAACTCCAGTCCATAACCAGTGGCAATGAGATTGCATCAATCAGCCCATAGTAGGAGGAGGGTCCCCTAACATTCACGTGAGACCTAGGGGTCAGAAGGGAAGATGTACTTCTGTTCCAAGAACCTATGCTATCATGTGTGCATAACTAACATCTGTACCCCTTGGGAACAAATATCTAGATGGTGGTTGGAAAGTGGAAATGTAACATGAAGGGTCAACCCCAGTTCAAAACCATGTGGCATTGGAAATGTATCATCTAGTCTGCAGTAGGAGAAGGGTCCCAGCACACTCACATGTGAGGACTTATGTTCACAGGCCTGGCTCCAAACAATATCAGTCACCCAGAAACCAATATCCAGGTGGAAGTAGGAAGAATGAACTGCATATAGATATGGACATAAAAATCTAGTCCACTTTGTACAGAAACTGGAATTGTATAACAGATCCATGGTAGGAAAATAGTCATGCTACCTACACTGGCAGAACACCAACTCTCAACTGAGTGGAATTTAACACACTCAGGAGGAATCCTTCATGGTCCATCATCTCAGCAGCAAGGAGCTAGTAAGTGGTAAGAACTCCTGTACTCTACTAGAAGAAGGAGGGGAAAAAAGGCATTGGAGAGTCTAGAGAAACACAGCATCGGAGAAAGTGCAATGGGTGACCATGAAACCGTATTTTGAAAGGCAGATTTAACCTGATTAGTACAATCAAGAGAACAGAAAGGAAGGGCAACATTCCCCTTCTGCTTTATTCATGTTTGTCCAGGAGTGTACGGTCTAAGAACGTCCAACACTGGTAGTTAGTTGACCCTAGCCCAACAGGACCAGCAGATTTACCCTGAGGGAGTCACCCCAAGGCCTCCTGTCTACAGGAATTCAAGGCCAAAGTGATGTGTTGAAGTGTCACTGATATAAACTGACTCATCAATGACCCCCTCAAACACCAAGATGGTACACCACACATGTCAAACACGTGGGTTGATGTTTAGATCACAGAGGAGGTGAACTGAGAGGTTCCCTCACAATGTACAGGAATCCAACTCAAGGGGGTCAAAATAGAGCATATTTATGAAAAGAACTCACATAAATGGAGAAGGTTGTGGCATGTTACAACTGGTTACTGTCATGCCAAATCGAAAAGTGAAGACTGGGTCCTACTGCATAGAGGGAGTCAGCTGCACTAGGTGGGTGTGTCTATATAAGTAACTTTTAAGCCCTATGATTAGGTAAATATTCAACTGAACAGAATAATTTAGCACACTACTACAATAAAAATTGAAAAAATACACATGCTTGAAAATATTTTATCTTTGAAGATTGTTACAGTTAACTTCAATAAAATTACACCTAAAATATTAGTTTTATTTAATAGATATAAATAATCAAGTTAAACACATTTCTAAAAAAAGGAACTATGCACAGGGGGGGTGTGCCAGAAGTATACAATATACTTCCAAGTAAAGAAGTGTATCTTACCTCATGATCTGAGGAAGCTGAGCAGAAAAACCAAATGTATCTGGAAGCCACAATTCTTTACAAGTTATTCCAAATTCTTCTTGAAAGAACTTCTGCCCATAAAGAAATTGACGAATAAAAGCTTCGCCACTAGAAATATAACAAATTAATATATTTTAAATTATTTCTTTGTGTTTCATACAACATAACTGTTTAATGTTTAGTTCACATCCCAATCAGCATTTGTGTTAATGCAAAATGTAGGTGATGGGAAATATATTAATAAAAAAAACTGGTATAAACTTCAACATGACCATAAAATTCACTAAAAACGAAAGTATTTTTATGTTATTATACATGGATACAGTCAGCAAATAATTCCAGTCATGGTAGTGTAAACATAACTTATCAAGGGCTTTTTTTTACATAGTCAATATCTTTGGTAAAATCAAATACATTCTGAATGTTTTGACAATCTACAACAAAATCATACTAAGAGAGTCAAACATATTTTGTGGTTCATACTGCATAATTCTAAAAACTTGCTACACTTTACAGTTATTTCTGTTTATAACATTCATGTATATTCCATTTTGCTGTATATGCCATCAGAGGTAGTCAAATGTTAACTTTTTTCACATGCTGGTAAAGAGGTACATCAGGTTTGTAAATTTGGTTGTAAAATTAATATTTTCCTCACCTGACTCTCACTTTTTGCACCACAAAGATCTATTACCTCGCATGCTTTGCCATATAAATTCCTGCACATTCCACTACCTTGAACAAAGCTCCTACCCTTACATGTGTCAACATGTATTTCACCAGCCTATAATGTAATCATCATTAGATTACAGCCTTCCATCAATAGGAGAGAGACACATCTTTCCTGCATAGTAATCTCCATGAGAAATAGCATTTAACCATAGGTTCATTCTTGATGAGGAAAACTAAATGCAGTGGAAATGGGAAGGAAGGGTGAGAGATGTTGCAAATAAGAACAGTATCTACCTGGAAATATAAGGGAAATGTTAACTTCAGAAACACTACTCACCTCTCTGCACCACAAAGAGTTAGAATCTCACAATGATGATGGTGGAAGGACCAGTGCAGAGAAATAAATTACAAAAATGAGCTAATTTCTGAAAGCAGCATCAGAAAGGGAAAACTCATGGAGAGTATCATTTATAAGATGGGGGATACTTTAGTGGGGCAGCACTCATCTTAAGCAGAAAATACTCTTCACCAAATGAAATTGTGGTATTCATTGTAAGGAAAAGAGGTAAATGAAAAGAAAGTATCACAAGAGTTCTTTCATGATACTAAAATTTCGCTAAGGTGGACAGAATATAAGGTTGCTCAACCAGCCATTATCTCATAAGCTAAGAATGAGTATGTAGTATGGCTAGAAATACAATTCAGATCATTCCATATAAAAGAAATATGCAAGATACTCACCACAATAATCAGGTGCAGGGAGAAGCATCTCAGACCTATGTCCTGAGGCAAACCCAATACCTATCCAGTTGAACCAAACCACAATAAATGGCTTAGAATATAACAGTGGGAGTATCCTGTACTACACTACCAGGTAACACCCCAGCCCTACTTCCAAAGTGAAGGGGTGTGTCCATTCAAGTCTCATACCAGTGGGACTACACCACCCATTGAGGAACTCTTCATATCAACTTTCTAAACAGCTTGAGACTGAGGAAGCAAGGGTTCTTCTGTACTTCACTACAAGAAATGGAGAGAGGGGGATTCATGTGAGGAGAATATCAGCATTGGTCCCACACTGAGAGACAGTGCAATGGGTTACTGTAACTAAAGACAGTAAGTGCAAGCCAGGTAGGGTAGGTACATACTTGGTGCTTTCGTTTTTAGTTACCAAATGCAGAACAGCTTGGAAGATAAAATATACAAGCAAACTGAACCAGTCTTGTTGAAAACCCCCATCTCAACAGCAAGCACTGCTTGGAAGATAAAATATATAATCAAAACTGAACCAGTCTTGTTGAAAACCCCATCTCAACAGCAAGCACTGCTTGGAAGGTAAAATATACAATCAAAACTGAACCAGTATTGTTGATAACCCCATCTCAACAGCAAGCACTGAGCAGAGGCAGATGAGCTTAACACTTTCTCTACTTTTCTGCTCAATGTAGTTTGGTTAAGTTGTCTCTGTGAGGCAACAATGGCCACTTGGTGTGTCCCATCATTTCCATAATGTATCTATATTGAATAAGGTGGTTGTGAGACCTGGAAAATAAAGAAGAAAAATAACTTACCATCAGAGCCACTGTGAAGATTAGAGAATAGAGGGAAGCAAAAGCCAAGATAGGTGAAACCTGCCAGTAGTGAAAGTAAGTGGTCATCCACTTCTCTATCTGCAAGAACTCATAGAGGGGGAATCAAAGGCTACAGGTAAAAAAAGCCATTGGAAGATGACATACATGAGAGTAGAAGACATGAAAAACAAGAAAAAAGGCTTTGCCCATTGAAGAAGAAACTAGTCGGATATGATATATAACCCAACAATGTGAAGTGGATGGAGATAAGTTACTAGAGGAAGAAGAATCCCACAGCAAGAAAAGGCATTGGCAAGTGCTCTAAAAAAGAGCAATACAAATGAAATAATAATGAATAGACCATATTAAACAAGATGATCCGAGTCAGAATGACTGTACAGGGTTGAAAGATCAGAATGAATGAACCAACCACATGATGGTAATATCATTGACCATCAAGTCTCCAATACAGTATTTGATGACTCCTATGAAGGAGTGTTGAAAATCTTGCGATGTTAGAAATGTGGGAAATGAATGTATAATCCCGTTAAATCATGAAACTGGTGTTGTGGTGGTCCATTTTTTGTAAAATATGTAGATGACAGTCCTTTTTTTGTGGTTATTAGTTGAAAAAAGGTATGGCAACAATGCATAGGCCTAATGATGACCTCAAAGAGTACTGGATAAAACAAATTTTTGGACTAAACAATGGGAACAGAAGATGAAACGTGTCATAAAATGCAAAGTAAATTATAAGAAAATCAAATTGAAGGTAATTTAAATAAACGTTCTAACTGATAACTTTAAAATTTAATATTTTTCTTTCACATAATAAAGAAAACTAAGGAATGAAAGAGTACATGATGAACAGTAACAAAAGGTGCAAAAATCCTGAAACATTGTAATAAAAAACATTTAAAGACAAGCAGTGCCATGAAAAGAGTAAGCTTTTACTCAAATGTTAGTTCTCAAAGAGATTAACATGCATGGAAAATGTGTAGCCTCCTAATGGTGGAGAGTTATAATCTACTGATGATTAAATCATAGGCTGGTGAAATACATGTGTAGGGATGGGAGTTTTGTTCAAGGTTTGTGGCACGCACAAGAATTTACATGGCAGTGCATGCAACGTAATAGCTCTTTGTAGTGCAAAGAGGTGAGTAACATTTCTGAAATTAGTTTACATTGAATAGAAAAATAGAGAGGTACAAACTTAAAAAAAGGCAATTTCACACTGCAGAAGTTATAACATAAGCACTTCTGAACTCCATTAATATGCAGGACAGCATGGGTAAGAACATTTGAAATGTGAACAATACAATTTTTCTGGTGCATTTTTCTGGGGCTACTAAGGATTTAGAAAAATCAAGAAGTTCTGCTTAAATACTGATAAAACAATACCAAGAAATATAAATTAAATTTCAGGTATTTACAATTACAGAAATCCACTCATAAAATAAAATAACCCACAATTAAAAGTCTTCTGACTAGAAGAAAAGTTAAAGCACACAAAATTCTTTAAGATGTTTAACTTTAATACAGAAATTGCCAACTGAGAGAAACTGTAGCAGTTAAATAACAGATATAGAAATTTTACACTCTTTAGAAAATAAATTGTGCTCTTTCCAAGAAACGTGCACAAATGGTTTTTATTTAGTTTCTCCAAAAAACTTGCTTCACTAAAACTTTAGTATTTTGCACTATTTTTAATTTGAATCTGACTGTAGTGACTTACAAGAAAGGGAAGTCAACAAAAAATTTCACAATACACAAGTACCTCTTAACTAATCTTTCAACTTTTATCAAAAGAAAAATAGCAAATATAATTTAAAAAAAACAAAAAAACAATTCAAATGAAACTAAACAGGTAAACTTATGAATAATTAAGCTATAAAACTGACAGCTTTAAGTGAACTTAAAGTGAAAATTGGAATACCTAGAGTACACAAAGAAACACTGCACGAGAAGCCTTGCTTTTCTTAAAGTAAACACAGACCAGTCTGGGTTGGAATATACCTTAATATATAGTTAATGGAATAAAAACAATTTGTGACACTCCTATCTCTCTATTTTGAAATGTAAAAAATATTTATTCTAATTTACAATAAGACATGGTTATGATAAAATAACAGCCTATCATAACTCTCCTCTCCTGTATTTATCCCATCCTTGAGCCAATTAACTTTAATTACTAATTGCAAAACAAAATCCTTCAAGGCACATATTATGTTTATGCATCATGACCCTTGGTTAACATAATGTGACTCACAAAATCATACTGTTGTTATGACACTGGAAGTCACGTT